TAGACATCCGCCTGCACGGTTTCTAAGTGGGTGTTTTGGAGTTCTGTAGGTGGCTACTCCAGTTTCCCCATGCCTCTGTCCAATTTGTTTTCGGTGAGTTTATGCGTCTGGCCGCCAATTCATATTGTTTGGTGGTTTCTATTGCTTGTATGCACTGCTGGAGCTTTGGTGGAGAGGTGCCGATCGCCAGTGTCTGCTAATCACTGTTAGCGCTGCCATAATGATGTGGTATATTAAGTATTTTTGTGGTTTCTTTAGGTTTTTGGGGAATAGCTGGAGGAGGAAAATTTCTGGTTTGCGTTCTAGTCTTATTTGTGTGCTTAGGTAAACGAGTTTTATTATGTCGTCCCAGAAGGTGGTGAGATCAGGACACGTCCACCAGATGTGGAGCATTGTTCCCTTGTGTTGTTGGCATCTTCAGCATGTGTCTGTGGCCTGTGGGTGTGCTGCTTTAATCCGCGTGGGGACCAAATACCACCTGTATAAGATGTTACGGGAGAGCTCCATATGGGAGGTACATTTTGAGTGAGGGCTATGTGCTTGCAGTATGTCTTTCCATTGTTGCGGACTTAGGGTGTATGTGAACTCTTTCTCCCAGGCAATGATGAATGGGAATGGTGCGTGGGTTTTAGAGGTCTGTAACGTTTGGTAAATTGTAGAGAGTAGTTTTTTAGGGGGAGAAAGGCGTGCACAGATTTTTTCTACCACTGTCAGCTGTTGTCCCTGTACATCATCTTTGTGGGTAGTGGTTTGTTTTTTAAGCCATGACTGGATTTGCCTATAGGAGAATAGTGCTGTGGGGTTGAGGTGGAACACTGTTGTTAGTTCTTCAAATTTTTTGAGCTCTCGGCCCTGCACCATTTGGTGTAGGAATTTGATGCCATGTCCTTGCCAAATGGCATGGTTGAAATTTGGTATTATATAGTGGAGAGCTTTTATTGGAGTGGCAGGGGAGAGTTTACCTTTCCATTTCATTTTGTGGCAGTACTGGTCCCATATGTGTAGGGTGAGTGTTGTTGTTGGGAGCATAATTTTTTGCGGGGGTCTGTGTGGGCGTGGGAGCCAGGCTAAGACAGAGATTGGTATCCCATTGGCGTGGTGTGCCTCTATGTCCGACCATTGGGTTGTTTGGTCTTTGTTGCATTCTGCTAGGAGTGGGCTGAGGATTGCTGCTTAGTTGTGTATGTTTGGTACCCCATCCCTCCCTGTGTTCGTGGCAGATAGAGAATATTTTTGGATATTCTTGGCTTCTTGCCATCCCATATGAACGACATTATGACTTTTTGCGCTTCTTGAAGGAAGTGGCTTGGTAATTTCATGGGGAGTGTTCTAAAGAGGTATTGTAGCTTCAGTAAGATTATCATTTTTATAGCAGCCATTCTGCCTGAACCATGATATGTATTTACCTCTCCACCCTGTTAGTATATTTTTGATTTCCCTTAGGGTTTTTTGGTAGTTTGTCTTGTATAGGTTTGATAGTGAAGGGGTGATGTTGATCCCTAGGAATTTGAGGTGGTCTTTTCTCCATTCGTAGTTAAAGGACTTTCGGAGATTGTCCAGTGTTGCTGTGGGGATGTTTATACCCAGGGCTTGCGTTTTGGCGACGTTGAGCTTATAGTGGGAGCATTTGCTATAGCATGCTAGGGTGTTGTGGAAGTTTGGCAGTGAGATGTGAGGTTGTTCTAGGGTGAGGAGTATGTCGTCCGCGAATAGGTTGATTTTGTATTCTCTGTTTTTTCTTTTTATGCCGTGAATGTTGGGGTTGTCTCTTATAAGTTGTGTAAGTGGTTCCAGTGACAGGATGTAGAGAATAGGTGAAAGTGGACAACCCTGCCTAGTACCGTTTGTGATGTCGAATTTTTGGGAGGCGAAGCCCCCGTTGGTCACCCTTGCTGTCGGTACAGAGTATAATGCTTCCACTAGCCGCATGAATGTGTTGGGGAATCCGAATTTGTATAGGACTGCACGGAGGAAGGGCCAGTGCAGCCTGTCAAAAGCTTTTTCAGCATCCAATGAGAGCAGCAGACACTGGTCCCTCCCCTGGCGCCCCCCCTCAAGTAAGTTTAGGATCTTACACGTGCCATCCGCTCCCTGCCTGCCACCGACAAATCCTACTTGGTCATCATGTATGGTCGTGGGTATGATGGGTGTTAGTCTATTTGCCAGGTGGTAGAGAATTTATAGTGAGTAGGATCTCATTCGCTGTAATTGGGTTTTGTAGTTGTGATCGCTGTATGTCTGTCAGTGTTGGTAATTTGGAAAGACAGAGGAAACCCTCAATTTCTAGGTTGGTGGGTTGATGTAGTGTTGCATCGTTCTTTAGGTTGTATAATGTGTGGTAGTATGTTGCCATGTTGTCGTTTATGTCCTGCGGGTTGTGTATTTTTTCACCTCCTTGTGTGAGTAAGTACGGGATCTTGGCGTTAGATTGTTTTTGCCTGAGTTGTGTTCCCTTGCGTGTACGTTGTTTGTTTGAGTTTTTGTAGGATGTGTGCGGTCTTCGCTAGTTCTAGATTATTTAGGCGTGCCGTAGTGTCTGTGATTGTTTGCGTTCTCTGTGGGGTGGGTTGTACGGTGTTCGCTTTGGTTGTGTCCCTCAGTGTGCGTAATAATGTTCGGTGTTCTTCTTTAGCTTTTTTGTTTAGATATGATGCCTGGCTGATCATGTGGCCTCGCATGTCCGCTTTGTGGGCCTGCCACACTGTGGTTGGTTGTACTTCTGGTGTGCTGTTTGTCGTAAAGTAGTCGCTGAGTGTGTGTCATTTTTTGGGTAAAAGTGTTATTCAGCAATAGGGAGTCATTTAGGCGCCATGGTGTTTTGCCTCTATGTTGGAAGTTTCCTTTTAGTTCTATCGTTGTCGGGGCATGGTCTGACCATGTTATGTCTCCTATGTCACTTTTTGTTACTTGTGATACTAGTGGACCCGATATGAGTATAAAGTCTATCCTCGAGTATGATTTGTGGACTGCCGAGTAAACTGAGAATTGTTTATCACTCGGTGTTCCCTAGTTTACAGGAGTCATACATCCCGAATTCTCCTATTAATTTGTTTAAAGCTTTACATTGTGATTTTATCACTCTGTGTCTAGGTGCTGTGGGGTTTAATGTGGTATCCAAAAATGGGTCCAGCTGGTGATTTAGGTCCCCACAGAGTACCACTGATGTTGTGTGTATGGTGGGAGTTGTGGATAATACTCTGTGGAGAAAGTTTCTTTGGTTTGTGTTTGGACTATAGAAGCTAACTATGGTAAAATTTAAGTATCTTCCCTGGTTGTCTTTTTTAACGTGGAGAAACTCCACTGTGAGAGAGGAGTGGAGGAGGATGGAGACTTCTCTCGATTTCGAGGAGTGTGTTGCGTGGTACTGGTGGGGGTAATCTCGTATGCCAAAATTCGGTACTCTAGCAGTTACGAAGTGTGTCTCTTGTAGGCACTGTGATAACGTGAATGGGGTGGTCTGTGAGGGAGTCTATATCTCGACAGAATTGTTCAGAGAGGCATATGATTTTTAGCCCCAGGGGGAGTGTATGATTCTGTGTATGCAACCAGAATGAATATTTAGTTATGGGCCCCTGGGGTGGAGCATTTGGAGAGCAGGGTGGGCCAGTGCTCCACTCCGCAGTTTAGCGGTTTTCTTGGAAGACATAGATCCAGCCCAGGGTTTTGGACTGTCTCCAACCTACTGCTCAGCTGCAGGTAATCGGCTGCAGCAGTGGGAATAAATCCCTCCCTGCTAGGCAGGTAGGGAGAGAATGTTTTGTTTCTCTCTGAAAGGCTGGAAGCAGCAGGTTGGCTAAATACTGGAGTGCTGAGAGTGGACAAAGACTTTAGGTTGGTGAAACCAATATTGTTTTGTTTAGTTTAACCCTGAGAGATAGGGAACCTAATGTCAGTTAGCGCTCAGACGAGCTAGGTTTTTGTTTATAAGGTTTTGTGTTACAGTTATGTTTTCATTTACTGCTGTATCCTGTGTGGATTTACAAATAAAGTGCTTGGAGTATATGCAATTACAAGGATTGTGCCTATTGTTTACCCTAGAGGACCGTGCTACCTGCAAACAAGGATCACAGCACACAATGTCTGCTTTATTTTGTTTGGCTTCTGCTAGGACCAAGCGCCTTTTGTGTGGGGTGTTTAGTCCTCTAGCGTTATGTGAGTATATTTTCATATTATGGGTTTGTGGTAGAGAGAGCTCGTATGTGAATTCTGCGTGTCTATGATTTTTTGGCATGATGGCCCTGGTGGCCTTGTTTGTGCATTGCGGTGGGCAGGGAGGTGTGACTTTCCGGACTTAGTGGGAAGTGGGGGGGGGAGGTAAGGAACCAACTTATGTACAAGATGCCCGAAAGCGGGGTCTTGGCACTATGGTATTGTGCCATGGGGGGTAAACGTCAAGCGACGCCTGTGGTTTTGTGGCTGTCGGGCTCTCATGCTTATTGCGTTCGGGGTTCAGAACTTCAACTTTGTGGTGCTTTTATGCGCTGGGGTGGCAGCCCCGGCAGGGTGTCGCGTCTTTTGTCGATTTTAGGGGTGGAATATGTTAGCCCCAATCATCAGGCCTGTGAGGGTCTTATGTTTTCTTCCCTTGGTCTGCTGTTTGTCATAAAGCTAGTCCTTAGGGGTGTGTTTCTACATAAAAGAAGTTATCTAGCTGGTAGTTGAATGGGATCAGATGAACATAATTAAGACCCCCAACATGACCGTGACCTGTTAGGGTAGCTAACATACTATAGGGACTGTTACATAAGGGGCTATGAGCCTCCCACTGATTCTGACTACGTGTCGTTTTTTCGAGTCCGTCCCCTGTTGGCGTGTAAACATACCCTGCCCTGTCAGCGCTGCCTCCCCTGCCTTTGCCTTTCCATAGGCCTTTGCAAAACCGTACTTAGTTATCCCACATATAAACATAAAAACAGGTTACTAGGGAAACATATGTAACATTAGCACATAAACATATAACTCCATATCTCACATATCCGAAGTGTGGTTGGTGTTGTTGGTTATGTGGATTTGTTGGATATTTGGCGCCATTCAGGTGTCAGGCGCTCTGCTGGGCCTGCTTTTTTCGGGGATCCCGTTAGTAGGCCCCATTCTCTGAGTTGCTTAAGTCCTTCTTCTGGTGTGTGTATAATTTTCAGTCCGCCATTTTTGGTGATCAGCAATTTGGTGGGGTATCCCCATCGGTACCAGATTCCTTTATTTCTCAGCTCCTCCGTGGTCTCTTGGAATTCTTTTCTCCGCTTAAGGGTAGCTGCCGATAGAGCTGCCATGATTTTCACTGATGGTAGTCTTCGTGTGGTGTTGCTCGGTTTCTGCTGGCGCGGAGCACTGCCTCTTTGATGTGGAAGTAATGCGCTCTCATTAAGACGTCTCTTGGGGTTGTATCAGGTAGGTTCCTCGGTTTTGGAACTTTATGAACTCTATCTACTAGCATCATGTCTGCTGGTATTTCAGGTACGTATGCTCTCATCAGGCCTCTGACATACGCCTGTAGGTCGCCGGGGAGGACCGTTTCCGGAACCCCTCTTAATCGGAGGTTATTTCTCCGTGATCTGTCCTCTGCATCCGCCATGCGTGCCTCTATTAGTGTCACCTTTTGTTCCAAGGCTGCTACATGGTCGGCTATGTCATTGTGTGCTGTGGCATATTCACTTAGTTTGTTTTCAATGTGTGCTGTTCTGTTGCCGATATCCAGCACCTCTTTCCTGAGTTGTTCAATAGATGTCTGCCAGGTTTTCACTAATTTGTCTGACATTGCTTCTAGGGCTTCAGTTAGGTGTGCTTTGGTGAATTCCCCTGATGCCCAGTGAGAGGTTTTGTCTGTGTGGAGCGTTCCCGTGTCCTGATCATCGGCGCCATCTTGGATTTGGGCCCGTTCTGCTTCGGAGCCTATTGCCGATTTTTGGCTGCAAAAATTTTTTTTTCAGCTTTTTGGGTAGATTTCTTGCTTTTGGGGTGAGACATGGTGCAGATTGCTGTTTTTGTGGTGTTCTGATAGTGGATGGCTATTGAGAGCCCGGGTGCGATTTGAAAGGTTTTAATGCAGGGGTGGGGGGTAGGAATGGTTATTTATTAAAAGGAGGGAGCTAGTAGCGCTGCCGGCTCCCTCCTTGCTTTTTTTTGCACATGCGCAGTGTAGCTTTTGTCCTAATGAAAACTAATTATTTTTTTTATGAATTTCGTTCGAAAACGAATGGTTTGCGGACGAAATTCAGGATTGACTAATGACATTTTTATTTAGTATGAAATCATTCATAGGAAAACGAAAATTTCACTGGTGCACATGTCTAGCATGCATTAATGAATCCATGGGGAGCAACAGGGCAAATGTTCCCCCTGAGAAGTCAGGAGCATTTATGTCTGGTTGGAAGCAGGGGCTGAATGAATTATTAACTCCATCAAATGCCTGTAGCCATGTTGTATACATGTATCTGTGTATCTATCTCTGTGTGGTTTGTAGATGTGTGTGCGATTGTCTGTATGTAGGTGTTTGTGTTTGGCCATATCTGTATATGTGTGGATGTAGATGCAAATATTTGTCACTGTATCTATGAAAGCACGCACAAATACAGGTGATAAAATTTGAATATCGTGCAAAAGTTAATTTATTTCAGTAATGCAACATAAAAGTGGAAACTAATAAATGAGATAGACGCATTACATGCAAAGCAAGATAGTTCAAGCCATGATTTGTAATAAGTGCGATGATTATGGTTTACAGCTCATGAAAACCCAAAATCCACAATCTCAGTAAATTACAATATTACATGCAATCAATAAAACAAGGAGTGTACATAGAACGATATCGGACCTCTGAAAAGTATAAGCATGCATATGGACTCAGTACTTGGTTTGGGCCCCTTTTGCAGCAATTACTGCCTCAATGCAGCGTGGCATGGAAGCTATAACACTGCTGAGGTGTTATGGAAGACCAGGATGCTTCAATATCGGCCTTCTGCTCTTCTGCATTGTTTGGTCTCATGTCTCTCATCTTTCTCTTGGCAGTGCCCCATAGATTCTCTATGGGGTTCAGGTCAGGTGAGTTTGCTGGCCAATCAAGCACACTAATCCCCATAAAGCTCATCTGTGGAAGGAAGCATTAAGTGTTCCAAAATCTCCTGGTAGACGGCTGCGTTGACCCTGGACTTAATGAAGCACAGTGGTCCAACACAAGCAGATGACATGGCTCCCCAAATCAACACAGACTGTGGAAACCTGACACTGGACTTCAAACATCTTGCAATGTGCGCCTCTCCATTGTTCCTTCAGACTCTGGGTCCTTGGTTTCCAAATGAGATGCAAAAGTTGCCCTCATCAGAAAAGAGGACTTTGGACCACTGAGCAACAGACCAGGTCTGTTTTTCTTTAGCTCAGGTAAGACGCTTCTGACGTTGTTTGTTGTTCAGGAACAGCTTGACAAGAGGAATACGACATCTGAAGCCCCAGTCATCCCTGCTGCTTGTGCACCTTTTTCTTCCACACAACTTTCTATAAACTTGCTTTGATACAGCACTTTGGGAACATCCAACTTCCTTCACAATTACCTTATGAGGCTTTCCCTCCTTATGGAGTGTGTCAATGATGGTTTTCTGCACAACTGTCAGGTCAGCAGTCTTCCCCATGATTGTGATTCCTACTGAACCAGACTGAGAGACCATTTAAAGGCTCAGAAACCCTTTGCAGGTGTTATGGCTTACTTAGCTGATTAGAGGGGGACACTGTGAGACTAGAATATTGCACCTTTTCATAAGATTCTAATTTACTGAGATTGTGGATTTGGGGTTTTTCATGAGCTGTAAGCCATAATCATCGCACTTATGACAAATCACGGCTTATCTTGCTTTGCATGTAATACGTCTATCTCATATATTTGTTTCCCCTTTTACGTTGCATTACTGAAATAAATTAACTTTGTATACACCTGTACATGTGTGCATTTTTTTAAAACATAAAATCAGACACAAAATTCAGCCTGAATTTGGACTCTTGATCGGCCCCTGGATGCATGTAAAATTACTCTTCTCTGTTCAACACAATCCTATGTTTTGTTCACCAAAGACATTCTTGTGGTACCTTATTCTGATAGACAGTTACACCCAATGTGTGACAGATGCCACCTGACATCTGTAAATAAATGGATACTTAAAACATATGGCAATCATTTTCAAAATCTTCAATTTTCAGACCTCGCATTGTTTGATCCATATCTGCGATTGTTCCAGTGAGAACACTTGTCAGTTTCATTTTATTGTTTTAAACAATATTGGGAAAAGTACATCTTTCACCATGTAACAACGTAATGATAGAATTTCAGTTTATGTTCTTATATTCAAATTCTAATATATTTAACCACTCACAAGTAAAGAGTGTTCCATCATTTGCACGGGACAGGAACAAAAACAAGATGTTGTTTTCTATTATTGCTTGATTGTTGTACCTGACCCATCAGTTTCTTCCGACTTTATCCTTTTGAGGTCATAGATTTAATTAACGGGACTGCAAAAAGAACACAAAATTTATATTTTGAAACTGGAGGAAAGGAAATTTCACCTAAACTATTAGACAAACATTGAAAGATATCGACTTAACTCTCTAGTGAGGTTGCACAATAACGATTAATAGATACCTTTATAAATAAGACTACTGCATTTATTTTTATTAAAACTGACGAATCTGCTCTGTTAAAATATCTAATCAAAATAGTATTTTATGTGAGTTAAACTGTTATTTTTGAGTTAAGAAGGGATTTGGGGTAAAATTAGACATTCTTTTATTTTCGCCTCCTTTCAGTCATTAGCAATAGAAATGTCTAAAATACTGATGTTCTTGGGTCATTTTTAAACCAAAATTATAATATCCTTGTTACTTACTGGCATGTGGTGAAGTTGGGCCTCAACTGCTGGACCAGGCAGGCCATTGTACTATAAACATGCTTGCTCCCGACACAAATTGAAGGACCCTAACATACCATATAGTTTGAGCTTGCTCACTCCATGTAAGTGATTGGACATCTGGTGAAAAAGTGATACATTGACATATGATCACAGAAAATGTATTCGATATTTTCAAGACTGCTTTTTTATTTTCCTTTCTGTAAACAATTTATTAAATTACCCTCCTTGTCAGGTTATATTGCACTGAAGGTAAACACGTATCTGCGTATTGAAAAGGAAAATAGAACTATCTTATCAATCCTATGCACTCCAGAAAACAGGGAGTTTTCTTAAAAACTCAGTTAACACTGAGAAAAAAAATATAATAAGTATCTCTGTATAGGATGGTAAAACAAAACTTTTAATTACAACGTGTTTAAAATGAAATATAAAGAGAAAAATTAAAAGAAAACAATTCCTTCATCATCCAATCCAAATGCATAATATTTTATCTTGTATATACAGGTAGTCATTTCCTTTTTATTTTGAGAATTATTTGTGTGTCTATGCATGTGCATGTGTACTTAGTAAGCTTCTATTTTTACAAACACTCAATTTTTAATTATCGTCTTTAGTTCTAATGCCAACTTCACCCAGAAAATTCAGACTGGCATGAATTTACAAATTTTGCTGTTGGAGAAAGGGGGTAAAAAAAGCGAGAAACATTAATTCAACCATCTCATTGTATGATGCGTCTTCAGCCAAGCAATGTTCTTCTAATTTTCTCAAATAATGCAGCTTTTGCCAATTTCTAACCCCACAAAACAGCTACCATTTGTTATAGATATATATGAAAAGAATAATTAATTCCATACAATAAACCAAAATATGCTTGCTTTGAAAATCTGTCAATGGTTCGTGATTAAAAGATATCTTGACAGTGTCAAAAGTTAACAGGATTTTGCACCTTGTTTGGAAACCTAAGCTGCAGATCGGAAGGTGTTTATATGATATCACAGTTTGAGTGACAACTGCCAATACTAGCCTCCAGATGAAGGTGAGTCTTCTATGGATTTTTTTGTGTGTTTATAAAACAGCATTTTACTGTGCGCTCTGTTTTTCAAGATGAGAAATTGAAATTTCAAAGGCACGACTGTATTTTTAGCCAGCCTCATAAAATGCAAAATTTTCAAAACATATGTTATTGGACTCAAATTATATATAATTTGGTCAGGATTACACTAAGTCAATAATTATCACCATTATAATTGTATGTATTTCCCATACAGATCTCAACAAATTGTTTGAGATTTATTTTTCTTTAAGTTGAAATTTTAAGCACAGTAAAATAAATTATAGCATAATATCATGATTATTATTTATAAAGTACCAGCAAA